AGAGAATAAAGAAGATTTAAAATTCTTAATGTTAGAATAAAACAAAAAAAAAAATTTTTACCAAATCCAAGACATTCAACATTTGCTCGTTCATCAATTAATGCTGGAAATGAACTCGATGTATGATATAACTACAAATAAATAATCAATTTCTTTTTTTAAATTTATACATCATCTATGGCAACAATACTATAATAATAAATTATTCAAATTCAGCGTAGAAATTGTTCGATTTTGTTTTCTTTGAATCATTTATTTGAAAATATCAAGATTCCCAAAACTTTTCTTAATTCCATGTTCGAACCATTGATTTCTCACTGGCAAAAATACAGAGCTAGCCTACTTCAATTGCTGTTGACTTCAACTTCTACTACGGATTTAACTTCACATAAATGTTTTTCATATCTGATCTTATCTCTCAGTCCTTTATTTTTTGTGTATACAAGTCCTGGCACACATCGCATTATGTTCGACATCAAACGAGTACTAAAAGTTACTGGACAGAAATACCAGGTTGGCTTGCATTTTCTCAGTGAAATTATTGTTTAGTGACATTACATAATCACTGATAGCAAAAGATGCGTTTCACTGATGCACTAACATTACGTAGTTGACTAGCTAATAGCATCATCGTGTGTCATGTATGTATATTAATCAGTCCATTATAGTTAGAATTTATTATTATTGAATGAAGGATAACAAATAAGGAACATTCATGCAGAGTGCAGCTTTCCTTCACTAACTCTTTCATCGGCAAAATCCAAAGGTAGACATTCTCAACCTGAAAACAACAGTTCGAATGTTAATTTTTAAATGAAAAAATGCAAGATACTTTAGAAGGAACAGAAAAAAAAAGTTTCTCAAAATATTTTTTCGAGAATTATTTATATTGTGTAAATATCATTTTATAATATTATTATATTTATAGTCTTCACATAACTATTGATCTCTACTATCTTATTAGATTTTTTTTCTATTTATAACATACTAGGCTTTTAAA